CACACACACACACACACACACACACACACACAGTGTCTTTTCTGTTTGCTCATTTTTTCAGCTCAGTGTTAAGGACAAGTGGTCACAGGTGGAAGTGACTGATGCTCATATGAAAACCCTCCCCCACTCCATTCTGTTTGCCTCTGTCACACGAAGAGATGTGTGTCATTGTAAACTGCTCTTTCATGCCTGTGGATAAAATGACCCAGATGAGTGCAACACAAACCCACACACACACACACACTGTTGTGCCCCCCTCCTTTCAGTAGTAATGAATGCTGATGAGGTCGTCAGGGGAACACAGGAGTCTAGCACAAAGCTGTGCAGCTAAATAATGATGTCCACATGAAGGTAGGAGTGATGATTGTTTTTTCCTTCATCCTTTGTTATGAAACTGAAACCAGGGAACGATAAGTGTTGTGGATCAAGGATTTTGTCTTACTGATGATGCCCCAGTGCAAAAAGGTCTCTTGCTGCACTGATTTTTCCAGAAGTACCAAATAAATTAACTGAATACTCATTTGTGTTTTTAATGGTGAAAACATTCATCTCCTCTGAACAACACTGACTTAAAGCTGGGAGGTGATTAGCAAACAATAATATTTCCATGGAGAAAATATATATATGGTCATTTCATTGTAGATATAATATCATTATGGTATTACTACCAGCAGGATGAATATCCTCCTCATTCTAACAATATAGCATGAGAGACTACAGGCAATGCTGCAAGCCACTTCTGCTTCTTTTACTTTGTCTATTGTTTAATGCTGTCTCAACTTCCTGTTATCTGTGAAACTATCAAAGAAATTGTCACACTGCAAATTATCTGCATGGTTCAGTTTGATCTGGGCCACCTCTTTTGGTCGAACACATTTTTGGTCCATTGGTTCCAACCGTGGTCTAATGCTCCTCTCACTCCTGGTATTTTGGTTCAGACTAAACTGTAAAGTCAGAGGGTTCAGACCAAACAAGGTAGGTGTGAAAGTTCCCCTCATATAGAAGTAGGAGGAAACAGCTAGCCGAGCTCTATGCCCAAATTATTACTAAATATAATGTATCTTGTTTACATAATGTATGAATAAATAGAAATGTAAGAATGACAAAACATCACGACTGAGAGCTGACCATGAGATTGGCTCACGATCAATCATTATGCATCCAACTCTCCTGCAAACACACACACACACAAACATCAGATATGTGCGCATGTTTTTACACTCTAAAGAACATTCTGCTGTGAAGTACACAGATCAAAGATCCACATGATGTAAACATGCATTTTGCAGTTTGTGTGCGTGTGTGCGTTAGAAATATGGGCCTGCGATGCCATCCATGTGTATATGTGTGTGTGTGTGTGTGTGTGTGTGTGTGTGTGTGCGTGTGCCCCAGCTGTCTCACAGAGCTCCCTGTTGTTTGCCCTGCCATAGCAGACAGAGCCAGCACTGTAAACTATGTGGATCGATGCTCATTTGGAGGATTTCTCTATTTAATTCCACCTCAGTCAGCAGCAGTGCATCCACTTATGTGTGTGTGTGTGTGTGCAACTTTGGATGCACACTTTGGTCGAAGAATGTGTCCTTGTGTGTGTGCGTTTGTGTTTATTTCATCATATTGAGTTGCATGTGTGAGCATGAGCAGGGGAATGCTGTAGGAGGTGTTGGTGTGTGTGTTTGTGTGGCGGAAAACATGTCTGTGTGCACTTAGGTCGCTAACACACACACACACACACACCTAGAAAGTCTGAGGCTGAAGACTCACACCATCGGTTCGTCTCGCACCTCCCCCCCACTTTGATTAGGCTCACAAGTTATTATTAGAGCACCAATATCAGCATATTGATTTATCTTCCCCACTTCTTGCTTTCATTTCATTTGATGCCAACACACACACACACAGATGCACACACACTTACACACTTTATGCTATTACACTTTACACTTCATTGCCCATTTGAACACACACACACAAACACAGGTAAACGCAAGCATGATGAAACCCATACGTACATGTTTTCTGACACCACAGCCCTGCACATTAACACACTTATGTGCACCATCACAGGAGACCACCCACCCCAACAAACCAAAACGCAAGCTGTTAGCTTCTCTCCTCATCAGCCGCCCCCCCTCCCTTTGTCACATCAGGGATTTCCAGAGTTCCCAACACGTTGCCGCCATCTCGGCCCTGCAGATGTCACTTAGCTGCAGACACACCTCTTCATTTCTCTATCCATCCATCGCTCCGCTTCTCATGGGACATGGAGGGAGGGACAGAAGAGGGAGCAGTGAGTGCACGTGTGTGTGTGTGTATGTGTGTGTTTGTGTGTGTGTGTGGTGGCTACAGAGGGGGGAAGGGAGCTGGCTAAGTTAATGAATTAGTAATTAGGATTGACTTCTGCAGTGGGTTTCCCCCAAAACTATTTCCCCCACACTCTCCCTCTCTCTGGTCATCTGTGCATCCTCTGAACTCTCTTTGTCATCTTCAACCCCTCCCCTCCCCCCCCCCCTCCCCTCTCCATCTCTCTCATGGCAGAACCCCCCCTCCACCTGTCTCACTGTCTCTAACCTTCTCCTCTCCTTGTCTTCAAACACACACCGACCTGCGGCCCCTTTTGTTCTGTCCACACCATCCCCAATGCTTTACACATCACTCTCTCCTTCTTAATTCCCCTTCTTCTCTCCTCATCTCTTCTCAGCCACTCCCTTCTTCTCCTCCTCCTTCTTCTCCCTCTAATGTGGTATTGATCAGTGGATTGGAGGCAGAGGTTCTATGCAGGCATTACATTGAAGCTTGGAAATCTTGGAACTTTAAAGGGCTGTGTTGAAGTTCCCCGAAGAAATCGTTGTAAAATCTTGGCAGCAGACAGTGCAGAGCCATATGTGTGATTATGTACTGCTGCTGTGCTTCTGTTTATGACCTTGACGGTGGACCATTAGGAGGCACCACTCAAAGCACTGCACTATATGGTTTGAGCATTCCAACCTTTATGTATCTATTTGAGACAATGCAATCAAACTGCCTCTTGGATTATTTTTATTTTACTGGTTTTTCTGGTAAAAAATAAGCGAGGGTGAAAGAGCAGGTTGAAAGGGAGTGAAATGTGAGTGGTGGACATATCTGGAAGAAAAGCCCTCTGGGCTTTATCATGGGCAGAGAACAAGTTAAGTCATAGTATAGGGCGGCAGAAAACATGAACTGCCTGTCTGTCAGCAGCCTGATTCCAAGATTTCATCATTTCGTGTTATCTCACTTTCAAAAAGAACACGTGTCATCATCACAAGCTCAGTGCAGACGTCTTTTAAACCACACAATCTCTTTCTGTCTCTCTGCGACAGCCAATCAATTCCTCAGCTTGACATAGAGGCAACACAAACACAGATCTCTCCATTTACTTTAGACACTGTCTTATCTCTTGAATGTTTAGAATATTGTTATTTTGCTGATGTGCTTTGTTACTTTTGTCCATCCTGGGACAGGGATCCCTCACTTGTCTCTTAGGTGAGATTTCTGCGTGTTCTTTGTTTGTGGTTTTCCTCACTTTAGTCGAGGATGTTGAATCTTGTTCAAATTGTTAAGCCCCATGAGATGATTTGTGAATACAGGCTCTTAAACTAAAGTTTGATTGAATGATTGATACTGGGCATACAAAGGCATGTTCAGTATGTTCAAAATGATGCACAGTTTTCGTGGAATGGTAGAAAACTCTGGCATCTATTTCTCCTTGTTCTCCAGCCCAAATAACTGCTTGTGTTACTTACAGTGGTTCATTACTTCTGTTTTGGATAGGCTGTAATTACAGTCCGGCAACAAAGGAAGGAGTGTCGACAGTCTCCTCCAGAATGACTACAGAGCCTTTAAAAGAAAAAAAAAGGAAAAAAGAGGAACCGACGAATGTCAGCAGTAAATACTAAGACTCCTCTGTGGTCAGAATATGGTCGGTGACCATCTTCAATTATTTAAGCCTTAAAAACCAACATTGATTTCTTAAAGTTACATTGCAGATATAGTTTTAAATTATGACCTGTACTAACTGCTTATAGAGCATTAATATTAAAAGCTAACAGCAACTAGCAGGTCAAAGGTCAAGGCAGTGTGCTGTGACAATAACATGTGGAATGAGATAGAATTTAAGCCCGATCATAACTGATTGATACCAAGTCAAGCTGAACTCCCTGTTATTTGTTACAGATTATAAACATGAAGCATACACTTTAATCTATGCCAAGTACATTCTGGCTTCAGTTGATTGAGCTTTTTCATATAGAACACAGTTAACTACGCTCAAAAGAAAATGGGCATTGACAGTTTCATGGATCATGTTTTCCCTCATACATCAAATTCCTATCTAACCCAAACTGAAGCATGACCAATAACGCTCAGTGCTCCAGGATATGACAGCTGCAGGACTTTAGACCTTGGACAGCACTGTCTGGCTGTCTGTAAATCATCTGCCCGATCCCCCCCCCCCCCCTCCCAAAAAAACAAGACAAGTTCCAAATCTGATGAAGAAAAAAAATCCACACTTGTGAGGACATATAGTGGGACCCTCTCCAGGTGGTTTGTGTACCCTCAGATCTCAAGTAAAAACAGTCTGCATCAGTTCCCGTGTGATGGAATTAAACTTGGAGTGCTTACTTGAACACACTCCGGGTCTGGGACAGTTATATGAGGAGAGTGACGGGTGTCAACACAGCTGCTGCTTCGTCTTCTCTGCAGGCTACAGTGCATCCACAGGCCCCCGAGACACGTCCCGCTCACACACACACACACACACGCACCGCGGAGGAGAGGAGAGGAGGAGGAGGAAGAGGAGGAGGAGGAGGAAGGCTCCGTTCATCCGTCCATTCATCACTACATCAGCTCTCCGCCGCCTGGACCTCCTGCGTACCCCTGCCAGCCTGCGCGAGACTGTGCAGACTACACCACGCGCTCGGGTCGGTGAGTGGCAGCGGCGTACAACGGTTGCACGCGCATGCCGTTGAGAGGAGAGGACGTTCAGCGGGGAGAGAGACAAAAAGAGCCCGTCTGTCAGTGCTGGTCCCCCGGTGTGGATGTGGAGACACCGCGGGGGGAGAGACAGAGACACAGAGACTGAGAGAGAGAGGACCGCGTCTGTGAAACTCTTCATCTTCAGCCTGTGACCGGGCGCGTTTCACCGGTGAGTGGAGACACGATGCGTCCATTTAATAAAGCGCACACGGTTACAGTGTTGACGTTTGAAGCTAGAATGGCGGTGTTGACGTTAACCGGGGGATTCCGACGGAGAAATATCACGCATGTTTAGTTTATTATCGAGGCGACGCAGAGCGTTGATCATGGAGTCTGCGTTCACCGTCCTGCTGGTGTTTTTTAATCTGACACCAAAAAATGCTCTGTCTCACACACACACACACACACACACACACACACACACACACACACACACACGCAGGACAGCAGTGTTTGTGGAGTTCACGCAGGCTGCAGGATACGCACCGTGCGGGCCGTGGGATTTTGTGTGTGTATGTGTGTTTGTGTGTTTGTGTGTTTTCTCCTCTTTCCGTCCCCCGAGAAGAGGAAAGAGAAAGAGCGGTTAGTTCCTGTCCGCTTTCAGGGAGGACAAGTCGATCTTGAAACGCGACCAAGGTCTATTTTGGAGGAAAAGAAAGACACCGGCCTCAATTGAGCTTGAACCGTGTCTCCCAGCCATCCTGTTGTCATGGTTACTGGCTCGAGGAGGCTGGGAGAACATGGCTGTCTCGCGCTCGCCCCCCGCCCCCCATCCCACTTCTCCCTCTCTCTTTCTCTCTCTCTCTCTC